GAAAAATACCCTGTAATTTTCACATTTTTTTAGGGTAAGCATTCAAACTTTGCAGTTAGGGTAACGTTATCTCTTTCTAAAAACTGACCAAAAATGAGGTGTCTACGCCCAGTTGGGGCGTGGCAAATCGGAAAAACCTGTATATTCTACAGTATTAAAACGAAACTTAACTACTAAATTGTTGATGGGATGTGAATGAGTATTCCGCAGTCGGTAACGCCCGACTGCAACGTTCTTACTTGTTTTTCGTTAGTTTTGTTTTTATTATTATTCCTTTGYGGCCGATCATATGCGGCGCCTGCCAAATAATGCTGACTCGTTGCCAAGCTTATGGGGTATGCGGTTTGAATTTAAATCGTGCACTTAATGAATAATGTGTGAAGTTCGGCAGTTTTATAGCTTTTGTTTTATGGAGAGAAATGTAAATCTGTAAAATAAAATGATGGAACTTAATATGATAATAGGAAATTGCGATACATGTAGAATGTTTTGAATGATAATTTAAGAAAAATTAGTCTTTTTTTTTATCATTTCTTTAATGCTGTTCTTCCGTGTATCATAATTAATGCCTTTGCATAATAACAATACAGCTCATAAACTTCCAGCTGTTTTAATGCTGGTTGAATGAAAACAGTAGCTGGCCAATAAAACAAACAGTAGGTGGCGCTAATAGAACTTCATTAGAAATTTTCAATTATGGGCTTTATGATGAAAATCATAAAAAGACTATGCAAAATGAAATTCAATTTAAAAATAATTCGAAATTTATTAAAATATATTTGCCAATATTTTTTTTTATATAAGTAATACTGAAGCATAAAATAACATAAAAAATAATCTGTAAAATATTATATTGACTTTTAATTCAATTCAATATAATTTTTCCAATTTTTTGTTATATACTATTATAAAAATACTTAAGTATAAAAAAATAAACATCTGCTCTTGCTTTGGAATGAATGCACTTTGTATAAAATTGAACAATAGATGGCGCCAATCCATTTTTATTGAAAAGCCTAAAAGTAGGCAATATTTTTTACGTTTATCGTTGTCGCTGTTATGAATGAAAATTAATTTTTGAGACTTAAATTTTAACTAAAAAAATGCTTTATACTAAAATAAATTTTTTAATAAATTAAATTTAAAATACATGTTAAAAAAAAAAAAAATTTGTTTTTGAGAATGGAAATAAATAAATTATTAAAGATTGTACAAAAAAAAAAAAAACATTTTTTGGTCTTAATGTTTAGCTCAAAAAAAAAAAAAAAAAAAAAAA